CCAGGAGTGGTGGTGCATGCCTGTAATCCCAGCTACTTGGGAGTCTGAGGCAGGAAAATTGCTTGAACCCAGGAGGCAGAGGTTGTAGTGAGCTGAGATCATGCCACTGCACTGCAGCCTGGGTGACAGAGACTGTCTCGAAAACAAAACCATTTGTTAGCCTGTTATGAAAATCTACATGTCATACACATTCAAGCACAGCAAGGAGAGGGCTGGAGCGGGTGGGCCACAGCTACGCAGAGCAGAATGTACGCTCGGTGCCTGGAGAGCTTCCTCCAAAATGAAAGTGTAAGACAGGAAACTAGTTTATGCACTTAGAGCATGACCGTGTCCTCTTTTGTAGGCATCTGTGGAGATCCCGGGACTGCAACTCAATAACCAAGACTATTTTCCCTATGTCTACTTCCAGATCGACCTTAGTCTTCTCGACTAGCAAGGCCAGCTGGCACCTGTGGCTCATGTTCGTGCAGACTATTTAGCCAGAGAATGGTTCAAACGTCTTACAGAACTAAGATTTTTTTCAGAGAAATTGCTCACAAAAGTTAGTGACAGTTGTATTTATTTTTTTTAAGTTACAATAAAATGCTCTCAAGTCCTTTGAAGGTTCTAACAAATTCAAAACTTCATTTTTCTGAATGTTTTACATAAATGCGAACTACATGTTCGCATTGGTAACCTGCTGCTGTATTTCATGTCTTAATGGCTATTCTGAGGTTCGTAACAACATAGAAAGCCTTGCACTGTATAACCAGCTAGATTCCTTAATAACTAGTCACTAGAGACAGCCCAAAGACAAATACTGGGCGGGAAATCAGTGCTCACTGCGCCCGGTTTCCATGTAAAATCTCTGTTGTGGGGGGCAATGATGGCGCCATCCGAAGCAAAGAGATCTTGTTTTTTGTTTAAAAAAGTTTATGGGGGAGGAAAGATATCTGCGTATCACTTCAAAATATTAATTTACTGCTAAACATCACTCTGAATTTATGATGTAGATACTAATTTCATACATTTATCGGCATTATCCAAAATACTTTATTCTTTAATGGAAAAAGCCATTAATATTCAAATGAAGGAATCACATTAAAAAACCCATACATAAGAAACAGCCTCCAAGAACATCCAAGCAGCAGTCAGAGAGGGAAAAACGTTTCGACAGCCGAGTGTTCTTCAAAATATTAATGTGACAGAATACGATACAATTCACCGGCTACAACAATTCATAGAATTTTTCAATGTTTTCTTGAGATGCAAAAGTTCACTGTTGCAGTGTTGTCAAATGACCAATCAAGTACTACTTCTTGGTTAAAAGGCCACTGGGAGAGTCATCTGATTGTAGACAATGTCCCTTCACTGCTGGAAAAATCCGCTGGCTCCCAAGAAAAGAAAATGGTCTGAAGCCTCTGTTGTGGCTCTCACAACTCATCTTTCCCCAAGTCATCAAGTTCCACATCACTGAGGTCAATGTCATCCTCCACGGGAAGCTGGGGGACAGAAAGCCACTGTTAGATCTGCAGAGGGGACGCCCTGGAAGGCCAACATCTCATTTCACAGAAGCGCAACTCTCCAGAGCTACCCCTGCTGACAACCCAGGTTCTCCTCAGTCTGACCCCTACCCGGACCTTCGCACCTACGATTATACGGAAGGAAAAGCTAAGAACTCCGGTGAAACATTTCGACATCACATCACTCACCACTTTAACACTGGAAGCCACCGAACATGTCCTTTTGAGGAGGGTGGGACACAACAGTGCAGAAATAAGTGCTAATTTCAAAACTATCATTTTCTGTTTTTCTAAGATAAAGTAAATGAATTCCAGGTTAAATGTTCACTTTAAGGTAATAATCAGGAAAGCAACCTGACTACTGGAAAGTGTCTTGGCTGTCAAGAATATCAAATGACATGCAGCACTTAAACCTGTGATAAGGAAGATGAAGGGTCTTCAGAGAAGAACCTTTTAAAAGGCCCACGGGTGCACCAGGGCTGAGGTCTGATGGAGAGGACCTGACTCCAGGTGCAGAGATGCACAGCCTCAAGACAGTAAACCAGGACTGCTGCCCGCACAGCCTCCCTCCTGGACACTCACCTCGCCATCCCTGCCGTCCCAAGGCTCTCTCTCAACGATGGTAGGGAAAGCCCCGCCTCCTACAGGTGCCGTGGAGCCACGCCCAAAAGAGAGCTCCCTTGGGGAAAAATGACCAAAACACACACACACATTTATTATGGACTGCTGGTGCAGAAGAATAAACAACTTCAAAAATAACAGTCTGCCTACTTTGTTTATGCCGAGACATTTCTTCTTTCTTGCTGCAGTACATTCCTGAGAAACACCTCGAGAACATTATCTTTTTAATCACGGACAACATTACAACCAGATTCAACATTCCCAACTAAGCCCCCTGCATCAGATACAGTCAGTTGCTATCAGTAAGTTTTTAAAAATAGCAGAGCATTTGCTGAAATACAAATTAAGTACATAAATAATTATCAAAGTTGATCCAGAACATGGGCTTCCTGTGAGTTTTGTAAGACTGCTGTGAACCTGTACAGAGGAAGCATGTCAGCAGTGACGCGACTGGTTCCAGTGGGATGGCAGAGAGCGGGGTGCATATGTGTAGAAACATCAGTACTTGAAACATACCAGACCTGGTGTAATCGGGCTGTTGGGAAAGCAGAGCTAGAAATACTGTGGGCACAAATATTTAGAGTTCAGCAAACAACTCCTAGAATAATGGAGCTAGACTAACAATCTATGGCACCAATGGGCTAGAATAAACCTATTATTAGAAAAAAAAATTACATGATAGATTTATATTCACATTCTGACTTCATGATTTAATAAATACTACTCTATGACAATCATAAACTTACGCAGTCCACAGACTTCTTTTTCTTTGAGACCAAGTTACGCTCTGTGGCCCGTGCTGGAGTGCAGTGGCGCGATCTCAGCTCACTGCAACCTCCACCTCCTGGGTTCAAGTGATTCTTGTGCCTCAGCCTCCCGAGTAGCTGGGATTGCAGGCCCATGCCACCACACTCAGCTTATTTTTTGTAGTTTTAGTAGGGACGAGGTTTCACCATGGTGGCCAGGCTGGTTTCGAACTCCTGGCCTCAAGTGATCTGCTTGCCTCAGACTCCCAAAGTGCTGGAATTACAGGCGTGAGCCACCAAGCCCGGCCCCATAAACTTCTTAATGAAAACGCCCCCTTGGCCAGGCGTGGTGGCTCACACCTGTAATCCCAGCACTTTGGGAGGCTGACGGGTGGATCACCTGAGGTCAGAAGTTCGAGACCCGCCTGGCCAACCTGGTGAAACCCCATCTCTACTTTACAAAAATTAGGTAGGTGTGGTGGCAGGCGCCTGTAATCTCAGCTACTCGGGAGTCTGAGGCAACAGAATCACTTGAACCTGGGAGGTGGAGGGTGCAGTGAGCCAAGATTGTGCCACTGCTCTCCAGCCCGGGCAACAGAGCGAGACTCTGTCTCAGGAAAAAAAATAATAAAATAAAATAAAATAAAATACCCATTAAGCATACTAACCAAGTACGAGTGAGAGCTGGGAGGGAAGGAGCCACGGTCTACCCCTAGGCAGAGGCTGAAGCAGCTAATCTCACAGGGTTCCTCCATGCCTCCCACTTCACTACTCAAGGCAGAGCTGGGACTGAGGTGCCTGACTTTGGAGCTCCTACTCTCCACACAGCACACACACACTTCTGCGTCAAGTAGGAAGACTGGCAGCAAGAGCACTGCAGGCTTTCACACGCTATTCTTCCTAGTCATTCATCACAAGCCTCTCAACTGCCTTTTGTGTGCTGAACATCTCTTACACAGCAGCTAAGAAATGAACACGGAAGAAAGCAAGAATGGAAAGCAAAACCTCTTTAGGTCAATGCCTTGTATTGCCTAAAAGATGATTACGTGAGTTGAACAGCAGAGCAGGGTAGAGAGCTCTGTATATTTGTTTTAGAGTTTTGAGAACCTATCATGTTGTTTGCACATTGTTGGAGTCACTTAAGAACACCCATTTTCAAATAAATAACTACATTCCAAAGCTAAGTGCCCAGAAATGGAAACCACATTTACCCAAGGTCAAGATTACAATGAGTATGAGGGTGAGGATGGACAGACAGGGCTGCCTCTAGCCCATGAGGCTTTTTTTTGAGACGGAGTTTCACTCTTGTTGCCCAGGCTGGAGTGCAATGGCGTGATCTCAGCTCACTGCAACCTCCGCCTCCCGGGTTCAAGCGATTCACCTGCCTCAGCCTCCCAAGTAGCTGGGATTACAGGCATGTGCCACCATGCCCGGCTAATTTTGTGTTTTTAGTAGAGACAGGGTTTCTCCACGTTGGTCAGGCTGGTCTCGAACTCCTGACCTCAGGTGATCCGCCTGCCTCAGCCTCCCAAAGTGCTGGGATTACAGGTGTGAGCCACCGTACCCGGCCCCATGAGGCTTTTATGAGAATTAGGAAGAGCCCAGGGTCAGATGCACAGAATGGCACACAGGGCGGCCTGAGGGCAGCAATGCAGTCTCCTCATCCAGCAAGCAGAGTATTCCAAGGAAAAAGGAACGAATAGGGAGACAATTTAAAAACTCTAAATTCTCTGGAATTAGTTTGCATTTTGAAATCCCATTTATTACCTGGCTTATATATACACCTAGTTTCAAATAAAAAACTATGACAGAACCAAACAAAGAGAAAAAACAATAAACAACCTAAGAAAACAAATTACCTGAGAAATTCGTTAATGCCTTGCTCACTGAAGGAGCCTTTCAGCAGAGCAAATTTCATCTTGCGTGCATTGATGGCGGCCATGGCGGGGTACCCAAACCCGCCAATCCCCAATGCGGTCTCAAGTTCAGACTGGGCTCCGGCTTCTGTCCACAGCCACCTAGAAAACCAGACTGGTTTATAGGGCAAATATGCCTTTTAAATTACTTACGATCTAACTAGAAGATCTTAGAGAACAAAAGATCACGCTTCAGATATTTTGTGGAATGAGTGAGAAATAAATAAAAAACAAAAGATGAGTTTCTATATGGATTTTCCCTTTTACCTGAAATCCCACCAATATCATTTGGGTTATTAAGCTTGTTCTTGCATTCTGTAGGCATCTAATAAACATTTGCTGGACTAATGGAGGAGGAGCAAGGTCATCGAGAGAGGGACAGCAGGGGGCGCTAGGTACCCAGGGAAAGCTATGGATACTGAGGATGAAAAGCAAAAAGATATATAGGAAGGAGGCAGGGCACGGTGGCTCACCTGAGGTCAGGAGTTCGAGACCAGCTTGACCAATATGGTGAAACCCTGTCTCTACTAAAATTACAAAAATTAGCTGGGCATGATGGTGTGCGCCTGTATTCCCAGCTACACAGGAGGCTGACGCAGGAGGATCGCTTGAACCCGGGAGACGGAGGTTGCAGTGAGCTGAGATTGCACCACTGCACTCCACCCTGGGAGAGAGAGTGAGACTCCATCTCAAAAATAGAAAAAAAGAGAAAATAGGAAGGAGATACCCTGTTTTGAAAATGTGCCTAGATAAGAGGATAAGGAAACATAATTCTAGTTCCCCTTTCTCATCCAGCCTTCAAGTTCATACTAGAATTCAGGTGCACTACTCATTCTGTGTCTGCTTGCTAACCCGGCACCCCAGTCACCATTTAAAACATGATTCCTATGAGAAAAATGCATGCTGTGCTGACAGCCCTTCATTCCTTCTTTTCCTCCCAGTGATAAAATTTTCACATCCTGAATAAAAACATATAGCAGAGCAGGCTGGGTATGGTGGCTCACACCTGTAATCCCAGGAGTCTGGGAGGCAGAGGCGGGTGGATCACTTGAGGTCAGGAGTTTGAGACCAGCCTAGCCAACACGGTGAAACCCCGACTCTACTAAAAATACAAAAATTAGCTGGGTGTGGTGGTGCGCGCCTATAATCCCTGCTACTTGGGAGGCTAGGCAGGAGAAAAAAAAAAAAATTTAGCAGAGCAAACACAGGAACACAGCTTACAAAAACACGGGGGACCCACTCTCAAGAAACCCTATAATCTCCTGTTCAGATGACACTGAGACAATAAACTCAGTAACTTACCCCCACATTTTCTTTTTGTATTTGTCTGCCATCTTCAGAAGAACTTCCAGATAAGAATTTCGGCCTGCAGCTCCTGATTTCAACAGACAAACGTTTTTTAAAGGTAAAGGTAAAGAAGTCCATAAAATTAATCCATTTAGGAAGTACTCTCAGAGCATCTAGCATAGAACAGCCAAGGGAAATCATTTGTCTGTCTTACCAGTATCAAGGATATGGGGTAGCACAGCCACAACACAGAGCTGGTGCTCCTCACACGTCCTCTTGGCAATGTCCTCGTTGATAATCTGTGGGACTCAGAAGACAAGGGATGATCAGGAGGCTGCATGATACGACACCCAAAGGTAAGCTGGCAAACAAGAACTTCCATTGAAAAGATTTCTCCCAGGACTACTTCCTTGTATGGAAACACCCAGAGGCATGTTCTCTAAGAGGAGATTTTTCTGCTACTGATTCTTAAGCCTGTGGAAGCTGTGGTGGTTGGGGGGGATTAGCACACATACACACATCTCTGAAATCACAATGCCTGGACACAGCCTGGCTCTGCCACTTACTTGTTTAAATATACTATACTTACATGTATTGTATGTTTATACAAACTTGAGGCTCTGTGCCTCAATTTCCCCAAATATAAAATGGAGATAAAAAGTTATCTACCTCTCAGTGTTCATGTGAGAATTAAATGAAACAAACAAAAAAACTACATAAAGACACCAGAACAGTGCCTGTTACATGATTAGCTACTCAATAAATGTGCTATTACTTTGAAAATGATAAGCAAGAGTGATTAAATACACTCTATCTTTAAGAAGCTCGTATTTCTGTTCACAATGTAATTATTCTAATGCTAAAAGTTATGAAAAGCAACTTATCAGACATTCTTTTCCATTTCAAAGTATAAAAACCACTTTAAAGAGAATATTTTTAACAAGAAGGGCATAACGTGAACAGTGTGTCACGACTGCTTTAACGTTCCTCGCTATCAGCTAAAAAAGCTTTCTGGACTATGAGCAGTTTAAGTGGTCTACCTCAAGCAGCTCAGGAGGTGGGGCGTTATCAGAAAACAAATCAAGGGCCCGGGACACTATGTCGGATCTTGTCCGCCCACCGTCGTAATCCACAGGAGACTCGCCTTTCTGAAATATCTTGATTGTAGGAAATCCTCTAATCTATTAAAAAAAAGATCAGAGAATAAAATCCAATTAACACAACACAAAATAACACAATCTTTACGGTTTCTAAAACCACCTTATAGGTACTTTTTGTTTCTTTTTTAATTGAAGCAGTCTCACTGTTGCCCAGGCTGGAGAGCATAGGTGCAATTTCAGCTTACTGCAACCTCTGCTTCCTGGGTTCAAGCGATTCTCCTACCTCAGCCGCCCGAGTAGCTGGGACTACAGGTGCACACCACCACACCCGGCTAATATTTGTATTTTTAGTAGAGATGGGGTTTCACCATGTTGGTCAGGCTGGTTTTGAACTCCTGGCCTCAAGCGATCTGCCCGCCTAGGCCTTCCAAAGTGCTGGGATTACAGGCGTGACCCACCACTCTGGCCTTATAAGTAATTTAATGTAACAAAACTATTCCCCAGACTGCGTGGATTTCAAAGGAATGACTCAAAGAGGTCAATGATCAATCAGGGAGTTTTAACAGTCTGTGAAGTTTAGCGCAATCATATTCAAGCCCTGGTATGTAATTAACACAAAGTATCTGCTCTAGAACAAATCGACCAACTTACAATAGCCACATGAGCAACGTGAGTAAGTCTGGGCAAGCTGACACCTCACATTAAGTATACCACAGAAGCAGTGTGACATTAGGAGAAAAAAGGTGACAGTCCTAAGTGTCAGACTTGTTAGTTATGACAGTAAAGTGACTTTATCTCTTCACTTACAAAATGGTTTAAACATCTCCTTTACTACCTCATAGGGAGGCCTGGAGTATTGGAAGAAGTAACGAAACACCATGTATTTCACAATGAAATGAGCCTTATGAGGATACTCACCCCGTAGCGGGAGGCTAGAACCTGATTGACGGTAGCATCCACAGCTGCCAGTTTCACTTTTCCTTTCGTCTGCTCTTTTACTTCTGAAGCTGCGGCAGCCCACTCTGGCTCTAGGCTATAGAAAAATACTCGTTTTGTGTTGTTTCTTTGAGACACGGTCTCTCTCTGTTGCCCAGGCTGGAGCGCAGTGGTGCGATCATGGATCCCTGCAGCCTCAACCTCCTGGGCTCAGGCGATCTTCTCATCTCAGCCTCCAACACAGCTGGGACTACAGGTGCGCGCCACCACCCACCGTTCATTTCTGTATTTTTAGTAGAGATGGGGTTTCCCCATGCTGCCCAGGCTGGTCTCGAACTCCTGGCCTCAAGTGATCCACCTCACCAGGCCAAATACTTGGATTTTAACTTGCTGCCCAAACTTTTTTTTTTTTTTTTTTTTAAGACAGAGTCTCCTCCTATCATCCAGGATGGAGTGCAGTGGTATGATCTTAGCTCAGTGCAGCCTCTGCCTCCCACAATCGAGATTCTTGCGCCTCAACCTCCCAAGTAGCTGGGAGTACAGGCACATGCCACCACATCCAGCCAATTTTTTTGTATTTTTAGTAGAAATGGGGCTTTGCTGTGTTGCCCAGACTGGTCTCAAACTCCTGGCCTCAAGTGATCTGCCTGTCTCGGCTTCCCAAAGTGCTAGGATTACAGGTGTGAGCCACCACTCCCGGCCTATACTTTTCAACTGATCTGTGCATTTCTGCCCAATCCCCAGTTATGTCACACCTAGAAAACATTTTGTGTGTGGCTTTACTAAAGATACCATGCTACCCTTCACATGAGTTTCCCGTTCCACCACTGCCCCTAAATCCGGACATGAGCCAGTCCCTTGTTAATCTTCAGCAATATGAGAGCGGAAGCTCTTGGCACTAATGTCAATGTTTTTTTTGTTTTTTTTGGTGATGGAGTCTCGCTCTGTCGCCCAGGCTGGAGTGCAGTGGCCGGATCTCAGCTTACTGCAAGCTCCGCCTCCCAGGTTTACGCCATTCTCCTGCCTCAGCCTCCCGAGTAGCTGGGACTACAGGCACCCGCCACCTTGCCCAGCTAGTTTTTTGTATTTTTTAGTAGAGACAGGGTTTCACCGTGTTAGCCAGGATGGTCTCGATCTCCTGACCTCATGATCCGCCCGTCTCAGCCTCCCAA